AAAAAATCTAATAGGAATGCATTTGTGTTTTCTGGATTTGCAGTGAAACGCATCTATTCCAGTTGCATTGAGACAACACTTGCAACTCAGTTCTACTTTGGGCAAACATCGTTGTATTTTTGCCCATCTTAACTACAACCTGCATTACCACAACTGTTTAGTGAAATCCTGAAGTTGTACTTACACTAGTCCAGTTATTTTCAAAATTTAACTTGTTTTAATGTTAATCTAAGAATAATTATATTATGACAGTCATCATGTTTATTCCTATCAGTTATACTTTTAGGGCAATCAGTCTCAATAATTTCCCGGGGATACTGGTATACCTGAGGGTATTGTATACCCGGGGGTAATCGTATACCCAAATGCCATATTGCGAATATTTCTTCCTCTATTTGGTGTGAACACATTGTAGTCATAATTATCAAACCCAACCTATTACAGCACGATTATCCATTCGTTTGCCCCTGTCAATTATCTCTCCATGATACTGGAAAGAGCAGGAGACAGGAGCATCTAGATAAGTAATGGACAATTATAGATTTAATTAGGACTAAGAAAGTGTCCCGATCATATGTTGAATTCTGTCTAGAAGAGGAGTGGGAAGTGAATGACGGCTGGGGCAATTGGAGTAAATTGCTGAGTAGAATACCGGGATAATTTCCATGGCAAACAAGATATGTATGCAAAAGATGGGGTGCAGATCTCTGGGCCAGAGGTGATAGTGATAGTCAACTCTCTAGAGCAGAGGTGGTAGTGATAATCAACTCTCTAGGACAGAGGTGGTAGTGATAGTCAACTCTCTAGAGCAGAGGTGGTAGTGATAGTCAACTCTCTAGGGCAGAGGTGGTAGTGATAGTCAACTCTCTAGGGAAGAGATGTTAGTGATAGTCAACTTTCTGGGGCAGAGGTGGTAGTGATAGTCAACTCTCTAGGGAAGAGATGTTAGTGATAGTCAACTTTCTGGGGCAGAGGTGGTAGTGATAGTCAACTCTCTAGGGCAGAGGTGTTAGTGATAATCAACTCTCTAGGGCAGAGGTGGTAGTGATAGTCAACTCTCTAGGGCAGAGGTGATAGTCAACTCTCTAGGGCAGAGGCGATAGTGATAGTCAACTGTCTAGGGCAGAGGTGTTAGTGAAAGTCAACTCTCTAGGGTAGAGGTGATAGTGATAGTCAACTCTCTAGGGCAGAGGTGGTAGTGATAGTCAACTCTCTAGGGCAGAGGTGATAGTGATAGTCAACTCTCTAGGGCAGAGGTGATAGTGATAGTCAACTCTCTAGGGCAGAGGTGATAGTGATAGTAAAACTCCTAGGGCAGAGGTGTAGTGATTGTCAACTCTCTGGGGCAGAGGTGGTAGTGATAGTCAACTCTCTAGGGCAGAGGTGTTAGTAATAGTCAACTCTCTAGGGCAGAGGTGGTAGTGATAGTCAACTCTCTGGGGCAGAGGTGGTAGTGATAGTCAACTCTCTAGGGCAGAGGTGGTAGTGATAGTCAACTCTCTAGGGCAGAGGTGATAGTGATAGTCAACTCTCTAGGGCAGAGGTGGTAGTGATAGTCAACTCTCTGGGGCAGAGGTGGTAGTGATAGTCAACTCTCTGGGGCAGAGGTGGTAGTGATAGTCATCTCTCTGGGGCAGAGGTGGTAGTGATAGTCAACTCTCTGCGGCAGAGGTGGTAGTGATAGTCAACTCTCTGGGGCAGAGGTGGTAGTGATAGTCATCTCTCTGGGGCAGAGGTGGTAGTGATAGTCAACTCTCTGCGGCAGAGGTGGTAGTGATAGTCAACTCTCTAGGGCAGAGGTGGTAGTGATAGTCAACTCTCTCGGGCAGAGGTGGTAGTGATAGTCAACTCTCTGGGGCAGAGGTGATAGTGATAGTCAACTCTTTAGGGCAGAGGTGGTAGTGATAGTCAACAGGGAATTATTAATAGTGTTCATGTTATTGAGGAGCTTCAAGAAAGCAATCACAAATCACTCAGTTTCAATAAATACATCATGGAATAACCATAATAACTACAACGGTCTATGTACCTGACTTCAGCTTGATCAGTTTCATAGGGTTGAGATATTACCTGAGTATGGTGGACTAGTGTGACCTGACTAGTCATTATCCTGTGGGTCAGGTAGGCGGTGATGGTTGCCAGTACAACATTTTTCAAAGTATAGTTCAAATTGTCCAGGAAACTTATTTCCTAAACAAGGAAATTAGATCAAACAAAAATGACGCAAAATATATGAACAACAAATGAAAGCGTCTCATAGGACAAAAAAGGAGAAAGGCATTACGTAATCAATATATTCAATTAAAAAGATAAATGAAAAAACGGAATTTGAAAAAACGAAAATTGTTATGAAGTTAAAGTCGCAAGGGATTCCAGGATTAGTCTAAAAAATTTCTTTCAGATGTTTTGGAGTAAGATCAGTTAAAAGGTAGATCACTTATCACTTCCTACGAAAGCAAAAGACCTGGGCAGACGATGCAACATCCCACCAATGAAAAGGAGGGGCGCCACTAGCACGATAAAAGACACCACAATAAGTGTCAGGGGCCCAAGACTGTTCAACTTCCTTCCCGCATACGTAAGGGGGATTATAAATAGACCCCTGACTGTGTTCAACAAGACACTGGACAGGCACCTAAAGTCAGTACCTGACCAGCCGGGCTGTGGTTCGTAGGTCGGGTTGCGTGTGACCAACAGTAATAGCTTGGTTGTTTAGACCCTGATCCAACATGAGGCCTGGTCACAGACCGGGCCGAGGGGGCGTTGACCCCCGAAACCCTCTCGAGGTATATTTAAAACTTGCTCAGATCTGCTGACCGAGAGTATAATGGAAATGTGTACAATCATTATTTTTTTATAAGTTTTTAGGCAGGAAAATAACAGAATAATTTCAGAAATGAAAAACTATATAGGTCAGGACAAAAATAATTTATGGACAATCAAAGTCACTAGTGACATGGTTCTCAGATAAATATATATTAAAACCTAACCAGTCCCCGGGCCATGATGAATATTCTCAAGGTTTTTAAAGGAGTGTAAAGAGGAACTTAGTAAACCATTAGCCAGGCTATTCAACACATCAGTACAAACTGACAGTGTTAGACAGGTGGAAAATATCATATATGATGTCCATCTATAAAGCAGGAGACATGCCGTTACCTTCAAATTATAGAATAATTAACCTAACCTCCATTGTGGTAAAAATTAATAGAATCAATAACTACAAGTCACATTGAAAGACATAAATTGATCAATTATTCTCAGAACAATTGTACAAAGTAGTGTTCCTGCTTTATAAATATATTTTTGTTTACATGAAGGTGCTGAGGTAGATCTTGGTAATAAAGACGATATTGTGTGTAAGATGCTAGACATGTGTAGATAGACGTTATTATGGCTTTTATGAGGAGGGGATATTTTCTGATGGATTGAGGCGTGGTTGACAGGCAACTGATCATAATAATTATTACGGAAGAGCTAAACCTGTAGGGATTTTACAGCGCCTTTGAGAGACATGGAAGGAATTCAGACTTAATTCAGGGAATAGGAGAACATATCCAATTCTCTAGATCAAGAGCCCCTCACCAACATCAAAGAACCTGCCTTGAGGGGACAGGCAACAGAGTTTGCATAAATTGGATGAAATATGAGTAGGGACACATTAATTACGTGGTGTTCCACAGAGATTGTTGTTGGTCACAATATACATAAATGACATAGATGAGGAAATAAATAGCGGCAGGAGCAATTTTAAGGATTTAATTTGACTGTCAGAGGAAGATCTGCATAAACTGATGCAGTGGTCGGAGAAATGGCAACTGTAAAGTTCTAAGCCTTGAAAAAAAAAATAACAATGACACTTGTAAACTAAATATTGTAGATTTTAATCACTCTGAATGCAAAAAAAAATTTAGGCACTTTGGTTAGCAGTCATATAAAGCTACGACAGCAGTTTATAAGTGATTACAGAAAAACAAATATCCTGCCTTCATATCCAGAAGTATAAATAATAAGAGTACTCAGGTTATTCTTGTCTGGCCACTTTTACAATATGTTGCATATTTCTGGTGGATTATTATTATTATAATCAAGGGGGAAGCGCCAAACCCGGAAGATTATACAGCGCCTGGGGGGGGGGGATGTGGAAGGCATTCAGGCTCAATTCGGGGAACCGGAGCACAGATCCAATTCCCCAAATCAAGAGCCCCTCACCAACATCAAGGAACCTTCTTGAGGGGCATATTTCTGGTAACTGTGTAACAGATTGGGCATTAATACGCTGGAAAACGTATATTGGAATATGTCAAAGTTAATCATATGTATCAGAAATCTTTCCTTCTAGGACAAACTGAGGTCACTGAAACTATATTCTTTAGAAAAACGTAAAATGAGAGGGAAAATAATTTAGGCATATAAATGGAAAACAGGAACGTAAGAGACGTAAATAACGTGCTTAAAATATGTAAGCAACACAATACTAGCAGCAGTGTGTTACAGTTGGAAGAAAATAGATTTAAAAAGCAATTTTCTGAATAAGAGTTATGGATGAGTTGCATCAAGGTCGTCCAATAAATAAAGTTATAAAAAATAAAAATGTGAAAAATTGGACATTGCAACACTTATAGCAACAGAAGTCAATATTGGCAATCTCGAAATCATTGTTGATAATCACAAATGATAAAGTAATGCCAAATTGACCATCTAACGTTCAGAAATGTAATAACATGTTTTATGGTACCCCAAAAAAATATTGTCTTGACTTTATTTTCATTTTTTTTTTTTTTTGCATTTTACATCCATTTATGCAAAATTGAAGGGATTATTACCCAAGACAGCTTCGTTACCAAGTCAAACAGGGTCCCCTGAATAACTTATGTAAAATTCAGAATGATCGGTTCATAAATAATGGTTTTGCATCAGAAAAATACTAATAAATGCACTTTGAGAAAAATCAACAAATACATTGAACATTATTATACAGTGGGTAAAAATACTCATAGTGCCTTTATACGTTTATTGAGAGTAGAACTGGTTATATAGACATTATTCCTGAAGTTCCATGAAGATCCCTTTATCCTGAAGTTCTCTGGTGGCCGGCCAATCATAAAAATCCATCCCAATCAATCTGAAAAGAAAGAAATGAATTCTCAAAATCCTATTCCCAGTGATTATGTGCAGATACATGTAACTGCACCCATATATGATATTTATACACAACAATATAAAAATATACCAAAAAAAAACACTAATAATTACGTACCTTTGACTGGATGTAGGTGGACACAGGATTATCTAATGTCCTCCAGGCTCGTAGGACGTGTCCAGCTCCCTTTTCCTCTTCTTTCCACTTCGGTTCCGTTTTTTCTTCATGTGCTTCTCCATTAATTCAAGTTGTGCTTGAGTCACTGCTGAACGTCTGTAGCCCAGTGCTATGTCCAGACAGCTCCTCACATATCCACTATTGTAGTCAGCAACAGCATGGCTGACTGCGAAATCAGCATGCCTCTTGGTTTGATATTTGGCTTTATTGCTTTAAGACCATATGCGGTGATGCAGACTTTCATTAGAGTTTTGCGTTCTGCCTTTTACACAACGCTGCATCATTTCATCTGATGTTAGGTCTTTGTAGCCATTATGCACCTCCTCCATGTATGCAGGTTCCAGTTGGAAGTGGTAGTAGCAGCAGTGGAGGTAGTAGTTGTGGTAGTAGCAGCCGTGGTGGAGGTGGGCATATTTGCGGGGCTCCTATATTTTGTCTTCCTTGTTTCTGAACATGAAATATCCAATAGTTCAGTAGCAGTGAACAAGGACAGGTCTTGAGTAGAGGGTGGTGGTACTAGCATGGTGGCGGCGTCACCAACCACAGCAGCTGCTCTCTTTGCTTGTTTAGCCCTTATCATTGCTTCTATGTTCCTTCTCCTCTTCCTGCTAATGTTCTTGGGAAACTGTTTCTTCTTTGCAGGCATTGTGTAACAAAAATGTATACAATGAAAGGCAAAAAGTAATGTCCCAAGGGTAGTCAGCTGTCAGACAGTGACACACCCATTCTCTCTTCAGACTTCCAGTCGGCACTGACTGGAGATGGTGTGAGCAGCTCCTTCTCACAACTAACCTGGTGGTTGCCAGTTACTATTTAGAATATCTCGCTCAAAAATACACCAAAAAAAAAAGGAAAAAAATACCTGTGATACTGTTTTATGAAGCAAGTCGCGCTGGAGCACATGGTTGCAGCCCAGCCACCGTGGAGAGAAGACGTCGTCGTTCCCGCTCGTCAGCTGAGCAACTCTGAACACTGTTGCTCGAGAATTTACTTGGGTTATCCTGAGTAGTTCTTCACCAGAGCTGAGAGGAGACTTGCTTGCAGTCACTTCGAGCCCCATCCCATCAAGAGGGTAAGGCGGTGACTTGCTTGCTTGTTCACCCCTCTCATCCCCATCCCCCCATCCTTCCCCATCCTCCCCTCACCCATACAACAACACTGGCCCACACACTTAACACACTACATACATTGCTATCCTTCTGACTGTCCTATCTTCTTATTTTTCGGCAACTTCGCTTTGGCGAGTTAACACAAGGCATTTTGACCATCTGGTAGCCCGTGTGGTTTTTTAAAATCCAGCCGATCTTTGCCTTGGGCCCTTTTCCCTCACTACTCGAGGGTAGGCTATCTTAGGGGCTGACCTTCATAAGTCAGCTGAAATAGGATGTTAGGCTAACATTAAGGAAAGATACCTTTTTGTTAAGCAACTCCTCTGCCAGATGCACCTTCCCAGGCTCATGGCGAGGATTCGTGTAAGATTACGCATTGATGGAAATCAAATGTCCATGAAAGACATTCTCAAATGTATTTGCTCTAATTCAACTGTTGGTCCAGTGGATGTTTTTCAAACCCACGCTGGAGCAGTACTTCTCTCTTCGGAAGAAGAGTTACTTCATCTCCTAAATCATGATGTCTTGAGGATAAACTGAAGACTTCTGGTGTAATCTCCTATTGCACCTGACTGCGTAGCAAAGCTCAGAGACTGTGTTTTGTGCCAGAATCTAACAGTTTTATGAACACAGCACTGTTAATAAATATGTCTTGATAACATTAATGCCGAGATTCTGATCCTTAGGGCTGTAAAGCACACAAATTCTCGAATTCACAACAACAATAAGGTAACCTTAAAAAAATCTTAATACTGACATCATACACCTGAGGAGGCCAAACTTGTGTCAAAATGTTAATCTTCTTCAAATTTTTCAGTACCAGATCACATCTGACCAAATTTCTATGGAACGTTTGTCAGGTGTGACACAATGTTTTTCAAGTGTTATGCCTTTGGTCATAACAACAACAAATGCAGGTACAACAAGGGCAAATTTGTAGCATTTGCTCTGGCCCAACATGCCTATCGTGAATGTAACCCAATAAAAATTCACCTAAAATGTGTCCCCTGTAATGGAAAACATCAATGCGTTTTCTGCTATTATTTTGTCCCTGAAAGAAAAAAGGAAATGCAGGAAAATTCTTGACGGACCAAGAAATTACTATCCACTTCTAAAGAATGAAGCCCAATCCCAGGCACCGCCAAACCATGCTCCTCAAACTTTCCTTCCTCCCAGCTCTGCCTGGAGTCAAGTGGGACTCCTCAGTCTCTACCAATGGTTCCAATGTTTGGAATTCGGCCCCTCTTGGAGCGCACACAATCTAACCCCCCCCCCCCTCGTTTTTTTTTGTCCACAGGTATCCACAGACGGGTATGATAACGAAAAAAAAAAAAAAAAGCCCTAAACCAAACCCCAAACAATATAGATTCTTTTAAAATTTACTTCCCCCCCTTGTTTGGTGGCCACCCCCCCCCAAAAAAAAGGTATCAACAAGGCAGGGTGGTTGGAATTATTCCAATCCTCCCTTTTTCCGAGTTTTTGGGGCCTGTTTTCCCCATTAACGGTGTTTTATATGATCCTGTTAATGGCTAATGGGATCACTCCCATAATTAATCCCTGAAAAGGTGGAAGCCATTATGAACCAGCCATCTCTAAAAATCACAAAAGATGTACCAAACTCTAAACATCTAAAAATAAGCCTAAGTCTTCTCCTGGCCCAGATCGTCCTCCGCGCAAACCCAGGCTGTCAACTCCTTCTCAAACCTGATAATTCCAACACCTGAACATAACAATGCCAAGCCAGAAAGTGGTGCCTACTCGCGTCGCTAATGAAGCTGTGATCCTGTTGTACAGATCTATCCCAAGGTAACTCACCTTGCCTATCTAATAATTCACTTGGAGCGTACACAGTTCGTCCATTAACTCTCACGACCCTCTGCTTCCTGAAACTGAGATAGCATACCTAGTTTTGTATGATGATGACTCTAACGACTCTATCGATTCGTAACGAACTCTAACGATTCTAATGAGTCTGGTTAATCATTACTGCTAGCCTCGTAGTGAAGATGAATGGCATTTTTAAATCACAAGCATTCCACGCAAAGTTCTCTATTCCTCCCCTATGACGATCCAGCAGAATAGTGTAGATACAACCATACATTATTTGGTAGCGTTCAGAACGCAGTAACGGATCGAAAGAATAAGAAATAATGGGGATTACAATCTGTCCAACTTAATGTTCAACATTTCTTTAATAAACGTTACCTTCTTGAGGTTGAACTACATAACTATATCCCGATGTTTTATACTTTTGAACGAGAAGCTGCAAGAGTTGATCAACATATTAAATTTACGTGGATACTGTACTGGTGGAGAACGAGAGGACCCTATAGTGGTGTAACCATCTTGGTAACTTAGGATATTACATTTAAAAATATCATGAGGATGAAGACAACATTCCTTGCAATAGAACTAACAACGGTCCGCATGGAGCAACTAGTAATAGGAACTGGAATTTCACTTTCCCCCGAGACAGCCATATATAATCAATCCCGCTACATAGGATATTAAGCTAAATAATCCAACAATTCTAGCTGGAGATTTTAATGCCTCATCACCCTGCCCTCTTTAACTGTGGACTGGTATTCCACTGGGTGACTTAGAAAGAAAACAACCCCTTGAATATCATACAGCTAGAAACGTGTCATTTCAAGGCCCATTCGTCAAATCGAACATTGAAACCTCATCCAGAACACCAGATATGTACTGACAAACAGAGACTGTGATCAATCTTTCACTTCGTATATCCTCTGGTGGAAAATGTAGGATCCTGAACCATACCCTGTATAATACAACTGACATACGTTCTCCATTTAGAATACCTGTAACTCCTAAACCCAATTCTTAACACCCTATAATGACTCCTCAGGGCATATCTGGTGAAGATGAAATTGTGTCTTTTGGAAATCTACCTTCCAGTGCAATTTGATGACATTCAGGTCCCAGCACAATTCGAATAATTTGAAGCTACCAATTGCAAATTGCCAATTAGCTTTTCCCGAAGATATTACCAACAAATAACCTACTAGAGAAATTAAGACACTTTAAAAATTACACAGATGTCGAATGGCAATCTTCCAAACGCGACAACCACCAGCAGCTACACTGCACCGATTAAGGCCCGAATTAATTAACAAGATTAGTCAACACAAACGAACAAATGAAATTTCTAGTTCTTCAAGCTAATCAATATAAACTGAACCAGCAAAATTTTGGATAAGCTCCGACAACTTTTAGGGGCAAAGCACAAGCTCCTAACTACCCTAGTTCATACCTGCACTTGAGATGATGTAGATGTTTGAATTAAACTGGACGATCCCCACAGGACCAGGCAAATTTGATGGTGAGCGTATGGAGAAAATTCTCTCTCACAATAACAGCGTCAATCTGTTTAATGAAATATCATTATCATTAGTAAATGAATTGGAGAGTATGAAAACTCTTGGATGAACTACAACCACTACCTACCATCGAGTACTGTTCAACTCCTTGAAATAACCCACCCGCTTACCTAACCTGATTACATTACTAGAGATAAGTTCAGGTTATTGGAAGAATGAGAAATGAGGCCCCTGGCTCCTGGAAGTAACAATGAAACAAATAAAGGTACCTACCTAGCAAATTGCAAACCGTCCCTGGTAAATATCTTTAATGCCATCTTGGCCTCAGGACCTTTCCAGTTGTTTTTAAACTGCTAGAAGGATCTTTCTTGCTAGAGCCAAAAAGACATCCACCCAACCTGGAAACTATAGACCTATATCCTTTACTTGAATCACTGGAAAGAGTTCTGAGAAAGTCATTTCCAACAGATTGAATTATACTAATATGGAGTTTGAATCATACTTGTTTACTGAAAAACAATTTGCTTTAGAACACATAGAGGTACCAATCATGCTTTAAATATGTTATTTTTGCGACACTGTAAGCAATCTAAAACAGCAGGGCAATCTTGCCTGTAATTGCCACCAGAGATTTCATAAAGCTTTGATAGCTTATGCATGATGGCCTATATATCAATCTCATTGAACTACCAACCATAGACTGGACATTTCTCCGAGAGTAATTTATAATTTCGTTAATCTCATATAGAAAAATCATTCCCATACCACCTTTCATGGCAATCTGAACAGAACCTTTTTATACGCGGCCTGGTGTCCCACAAGGTTCATGAGTCCTCAGTCCACTTCTGTTTAACATTATGTGAAATGACCTTCTCAACCAAAGATTTAATATGACCCAATTGTAACACAGTATGCAGATGAGTTAATTCATGTCGTCTTCAACAACACCAGTAAACAGGTAAATCCAAGTATGAGAGAGTCCATAGAAAAAATGAATATTTGAACTCGTTCGAACAACTAATTGGAGAAGAAATGGAGAATTAACGACAATCGCTGACAAGGTCCCTTGTTAGCACCGGATAGGATGTTTTGCATCAACCATGGAAGAAAAAGGGGGTAACTCCATCAGAGGTACCCCTGTAGCCAGAGAAACGCCTAACAAGATCTTGATATAAATAGACCGCTGACTCCACTCAACATCTCATTAATCTAAAAAGATCAACACAGCCAAAGCCGGCTTAGCAGACTCTTTCGATTCAATCAGCCACTCAACATGTCAAAAACATCTGATAAATGATAATAAACCTATACTTGAAAACCCTTGTGTCCCAATGTCATTAAAACCAACAAAGACCAAATCTACGGTTAAAAAGGTTCCAGTATAGAGCTCTTCGAATTTATTACTCAATACCAGGAGTAGCGACAAGAGATTTAAAATGGCAGATTTACACACACAACAAGATATCACAGCCATAAATGTACGCCTGTGACACCCGATAAAAAAGAAACAACTTTAATACAATGCAAGAACTATATACATGCCAGATAGAGAACATCCATTCAAGTGATAAATACCACCGATTACAACATCAATACATACTTCGCCCACAGGAACTCCAAAGAATGACTCCTCCTCAGAGGGTTCGTCGGCTTATTCATAAAGATGATTACCCTCGACCCATGAATGTTGAGCAACTTACCTGACGAAGAAGATTGGATACTACCAGAACCCTTCTATGTATATTGAAAAAATCATCGCCCCCAATAGGGAGAACATCTTAATAACTTTCTAAGTAAGAATTATGCTATTTGACTATTGTTGGGACACCACCATTAAGAGATATTGTCACGAGCTCAGTAAACTGGCCAGAAAATATTGCCTTTCCTGTCGTATAAATATCCGTTGTGCAACTCGCGAAAAAAAAAAAAAAAAAAAAAAAAAAAAAAAAAAAAAAAAAAAAAAAAAAAAACAAAAAAAAAAAAAAAAAAA